GTAATTCAAAGTTTAAACTCAGATCCCCTCTCCAGTTTTAATTAGTGAGATGTTTTTAAAGGTGAAGATTTATTTAGATGAGACATGATGATGATGAGCAAATTGAGTCTGCCTGCACTGCTTTAACACCATATTATTTGGACCCGGGACCCCTCGCACTCTAAGCGAGAGTCATACTCATAGACCAACGAGCCACTTTTGCCACCTGACGGAAATCACGACAGGAGGAAGTCTGCAGAAGCCTGAGCAGCTCAACACGAGCACAAGAAGGGCCTCATGATGAATGTATTACAGTGAATTAGATTGAATTAGATTTTAGTTGGCTTGAATGGGATCATTTTAGTGTCTAAAGTTTACATGTATGGTGTTTTGTTGCTTAATTAAGCAAAATAAAAACTGAAAAACTGAAAGTCCAACAGCTATCAGTTCAACTAAATGATGTGAGAGGGGGAATGACTTAAACCATAACCAGTGTGGCTGAGCCAAAATGACATAACACTACAACAAAGCTGTCAGACCTCATGGCACAACGGTAGCGCGTCTGACTCCAGATCAGAAGGTTGTGTGTTCAAATCACACTGAGGCTAAATCTTTGGTCACCTGCAGAAGTTCTGTGACCACTCTGCAGCTGTTGGCTGTGTCAGTGGGGGAGGAGGAGGAGTACAGTGTTGTGGATTACTTGGGTGGTGTGAAACTGACCATCTGCACCTAACACCACCAAGACAAAGGAGCTGCTGGTGGATTTCAGCAGGAGGAAGTCTGATGGCAAAATGGATTTTGTATGACTTACAAAATTAACTCAGGTAAAGGTTCATGTGATATAATTAGACTGAGTTCTCATTTTCAGTTGACCAGAGACAGGATTGGTGGAGAGCATAGCTGTTTTCCACGCAGTCAACCTCAGTTCTATTACTGGCCAATGCTGCAGGTGTTTATCTGTTTAACAAACATCTAGTTAAGTGGTTTTGTCTTCCCTGACTGGGAATTGAACCCGGACCGTGGTGGTGAGAGCACCAAATCCTAGCCATTAGACCATCAGGGAGATGGTGTGAAGTGGATTATCTTATGTTTTGTGGATATTGGATTGTTTGAAACACTTTTTCCTTTAGCAGCTCTAAGTTATAAAAGGTTTTGAGTGTTCAGGAGAGTCTTTCGAGTCTCTGATGGAGGTTTTTACAGCATGTAATGTGTCTATGGTTGATGTTCTGACTGAGTAGAGTAGGACAGGTAAAGGGTTTCTCCCGAATTGTGTTTTCCCAGAGAGAAATGGAGAGAATGTGGGTTGTTGTGGCCGAGTGGTTAAGGCGATGGACTAGAAATCCATTGGGGTTTCCCCGCGCAGCTTCAAATCCTGCCAACAGCGACTTTTCTGAATACAGTTTCAATCACATGTATGGATATGTCCTGCTTGGCCAATACTTGTAATAGGATAAGCTCACATAGTAAAAGCAGCTACACAAAAAGAATTGAATTGAAGCTCAGTTGATATTTCATGAGACCCATCTCTAGACACTAAGACTGATGTTTAGTGAAACTGTACAAAGACATATAGAGCAGGACCACATGAAATGTCCTACACCAAGCTGCCAGAGCCAGTGTGTAAAGACTGTTTGCTTGTTAGAAAGAGGGGGATTAAAATCATAATCATAATAACAGCTCACTTTGCTGTGTGTGGTTGTTATGGTTAAGGCAAGGGACTGCCAACAATCCCTGTTTATGGTTGATCATCACCACAACACTATGGGTGCTCTCTGCATACAGAAATAACAAATGGAGAACTTTGAAAGTGAGCATAATCACAAAGATGTGGATAGAAATGCGTCATCTATGGTAAAGTATGCATCATCTCCAACAGGCACTCACACAGTGGACGGGGTGAGTGGGTCATTTTCACCTGAACTGGAAAGACTGGGCAGTTGTTTAGATAACTGATCATACCTAAAAGGAGTTCATTTGTGTGAGCTCTGCGCACATTTTCATACGTTCCTTTGTGTGATGCATGGTGTTAATGGTATAGTGGTTAACATAACTGCTTTCCAAGCAGGTGACCCCGTTTTGATTCCTGGCCAACGCAGCTCCTCTTTAGATCTGCAACTTTTATTTCTATACATTCTACCCTTGTGTTGTGTTCTGGTCAAATTTGACTGATTTAAAAGTTTTATCTCTAAAAGATTTTAGTTAATTTGATCAGACTGGCCTAACATTCCAGAGGGTATCAACAGACAATTCAGTTCTGGGAAAGGTGAAAATGTTCCTGAATGTGGGCTGTGGATGTAAGTGGGGGTATGCATGTTTTCCTTTTAGTTTGATAATTAGAGAGCATAAGAAACAGTATTGTTATGTCAAGGCAGTATTGTGTGACTAAATGGCTGGTGATTGGGATGCATGTTCCATTTAGCATGATAAAGAGAGAGCATAGGCTAAGCCATTTACAGCAACTTACAATAAGCAGACAGTATTGTCTGCATGGAAAACATTGAGAAGCCTATCGCTGCAGGGCCTTTTGGACGTCCAAACTCCACCCATCCAAGACAATCGGCCATTTTGATGGCGTCATGCGACTATGAGTTTTCTTAGGCGCAAACAAAACTTTACTGGCCATAGCAAATCAGCAAACGAAGAGAAGCCTTAAAACGAACGATGTCGGTAAGTGAAAAATACATAATTTTATGTTCATGTTGACGATATTACTGTGTTGACCCTACTAGATGAAATATTTATGATATTTGATGTGACCATCTAGTTTATTGTGTTCATTTGTTTTTTGTGCGATAAGGTAGGAGTTTTGTAGAGTACCTTCAATTTAATGTTAGCTAGCGCTAGGCCCTGTTTTGTTTTACTTAAAGATGTTTATTGTGAAATTGAGTTTATGCAATATCCATCCCGTGATGTCAAATGAACATTACAGAACGTTATCATTTTTGTTTCACGAAAGTATGCAAGATTAGTAAAAGCCTGTTAGTGAAAATGATTTCGGCTTGAGAAATATAACGTTATTAGCCTGTTAACGTTAATTACACATATCAGTATACTTAGCAGAGTTGCTAGCGGCTTAACTTGTAACAAAATGTCCATTTACAAAAGTTTTGACTATGTTGGCGAACAGTACAGCTTGTTGTCATAGATAATAATCATTAACATTATTTAAAACTGTACATGCACAGGTATTCAGGTGTGGGGGGTTAAGAAGGTTTTAGTGGTTGATACTGCGCTTGCAGGACCTAACAGTAAGTCTGGTGTGTATGCACGCAGGTGATGTAGTGTATCATGATACAATGTGTGGATGTTGAAACAATTTATTTTCCTCAGGCCATCCAAACACACAGCATTATTTGGACCTCAGTGGGTTTAACAGTACGTTATTAGGATGGGAATATGTGTACCCAGCTCTTTGATCAACACAAAAACTGAAATGGGTCGAAGTGAGGGTTAACACATAGTATTTTAACACAATATTATGTATTGACTTTAATTCAGTGTTTGCAAGATTAATTTAACTAATTTCACCATTTTCTAATTTTCAAACTGCTTAAACCAAGTACATTTCGCTGCAGCGCTTTTTGACGGTGACGTAATCACGTGCAGTGACGTAAACACGTAATCAAAATGGCCGACTGTCTTGGATTGGTGGAGTTGGACGTCCAAAAGGCCCTGCAGGGATATGTACTTGGGAGACAGAGAGGGGAAAGGAGCCCTTGCTTTCTGTGGACTTTTGTGCCGTTTGGACGTTGTTGTGTGTTCATAAACCGTAAGTTTGGCATTTCTTGTTTGTGAGTGAGCTGTTCATGGTAGTTTGCAGGATGTTGTAATTAATATCCGCATATGTCGCCGATGTTTACGTTTATAGCGTGTAACGTGCGTGTCGCGCGCATCGCGTGTCCCGCGATTAAGTAAACAGTGAAGTGATGATTTTTCCTGCCGTATAAAACGGAGATGAGGCTGCTAACTTGATAATCTGTTTATATTACGGTGTAGTATATTCATATAGTTGTGTTTAGTTAGCCATTGTCCACGTGTGTTAGCATTAATTAGCCATGCGTTGCTATTAATGTTGTGGTCACCATGCATATGTTTCTAAGAGGCACTGTTATATTCTGTTTACTTATAGAAACCACAACTTCACAACTTTCTAACGTCAATGTAACAACTCAATATGCAAATTGTTCTTCCAATTGTCCAACTAAAGTCCGCCGTTGGTGGGAGTTTTATTGACTTTGTTTATTTTGCTGTTTGATGTCTGGGTCGGCTAGCATGAGGGTGGCTAGCATGCTAGCGTGGGCTGAGGGAGTAGTAGTTTTTGTTGAATATAATCTTTATCTTTGTCTTTATTTAGCTTCCTGCAGAGTTTTACTGTCTCCGCAGAGCACACGTTACCTCTTTAACTTTGTGTTATCTGGGGAGATATATAGTGGACATTTAGGGATCGTTGTAGAAGAAGAAACAATCAAAGAACGGGAATCTTTGTCCCAAAGCTAATGGAAAGGCGGAAAACGAGGAGAAACCCTGAGCTTTCCCAGCTGGAAGTGGAGCCTCCAGGTTGGTTTGTGTCATGATCAGTGTGATGCTGTGTGGACCTGATCTTTATTCATTGTGTTTGTCCAGCAGACCATGGAACAGGATTTGTTCCAGATTGGGTCTCTTTCTCTTCATGTTCCTGTTTGTTTCTCCCATGAGGAGCATT